TTTTGTGTTGAACGTGGCGCGTCGACATCGCCTGCCGCGCCCTACTCGTGTCTCCCCGCGCGGTCTATACATGCCAATCGAGTAGCGTCGCGTTGACTGCACAGTGCTGCAGCGCCTGCATGCCCTCCGCCAGCCTGCGGCTCTGCATGCATGCATGCACTTCGCGCTGCGCAGACAGCATCAGCCAACGTCTGCCAGCATTTTGGCTGCTCTGAAGCCTGAAGCTCTGCAGCAATCTGAATTGGAATTCCAGAATCCAGCATCCAGCAGAGGCGAGCGCAGAGGCAGCAGTCACGAGTACCGTGATGAGAGGCCCGGTGCCCACGCCCGTGCGCTCGAGAACAACATGAGCGTCGTTGCGGTGGCCAATCTGCATGCCTTGGTGGCCTTGCAGTTGAGCAGTGTGCTAAGAGCTGCCGCGGCGAAGCGCGCGGATAGTTGCACATGCACCTTCTCATCCGTCTTTTGAGCTCAGGCCGAGAGGGCCGCGAAGAGAAACACGCGCGCGCTGAGGGCAGCCAACGACGGCCGGACACGCGAGGTTGAAGAGAGGGCGTGCACCGATATCCACCAAAAGTGTCTGCTCCCCTCCCCGCTGTGACTGTTGATAGTTCTACCAACCTCCCCACTCCTCACCGCTATTCCACACTTCGGACTAAACAACTCCTTGACATCTTCGTCTCGACAAACATCGCGACGAAGCTTTCCCGTCCATCTCTAAACATCAACATCACGCTCGGTGAGGTCTGAATCCTTCCTCGAGAAAGGTGCGTTCACTCGTCGTGAGAAGATTGGTTGCGGTCGAAGAATGAAACAATCAAGGATCGGTAGCGGGCGTTGCCAGCGCAGATGGTGCGCGTCGTGCGCTGGTGAAGCAGGTCAAACTCCGAACGTTTGCGAGCGCCGCGATCGAGAAGATTTATCTGGTACACGTGCCATCGCAGACACTTTGCTGGAAGCAGTCTTCTGACGTCTGTTTTCACCACTTTTCGCTCGGCACTCGTCTCGCCCTACTTTATCCTCGCAGCTCATTATCGCACATCAACTGACCGAATCCCCTCAGTTTCATCATGAGAGAAATTGGTGAGTGAGCTGGGATCAAGTGGGTGCGAGAAGGGAACCGTGCATTTGGAAGGTACACAGGCGAAATGTACACATCAGAGCTCGCGTACTCGTGCAGAGTCAGACGTTTCCGATGATCAACCAAATGGCGGAGCGGACCTGGGCGTGCAAGGAAATGCATCTCCTTTGCAACGCGGCTCCTGGCTGTCCGTCTCGCAATCACAAGGCGATCTCGATCGGCATCGTTCGGGACATTGAAGTGTAGTGTAGTGTGGATAATGGCGCCTGTAGAGCTTGCATGCTAACAGTCGGTCCTTCTCTCGTTTGCCTGAACAGTTCACCTGCAGACCGGCCAATGTGGTAACCAAGTTGGAGCCAAGTTTTGGGAGGTGCTTTCGGAGGAGCACGGCATCGACCAGACGGGTGCCTACCACGGTACCACCGATCTCCAGCTCGAACGCATCAATGTGTACTAGTGAGTAGAGTAAATGAGGCGAGCAAAGCGTCTAGAAGACGCAAACATTCACTGCCAGCTGACCTCGCACGCCTTCCATTCATCCCTGCTCGTAGCAATGAGGCCGCCGGAGCCAAGTACGTTCCTCGTGCCGTGCTTGTGGACCTTGAGCCAGGAACGATGGACTCTGTGCGTTCGGGCCCCATGGGTGGAATTTTCCGTCCCGACAACTTCGTCTTTGGTCAGAGCGGTGCTGGTAACAACTGGGCCAAGGGTCACTACACTGAGGGTGAGTAGGATTTGGGCGCGCGAAGGGCGCCACCTTCCAGGCCTTTGCTGCAGAGACAGCGCGAGGTCCCTAGTCCATCTGCGTTACGGGTCCGTCGCGCTTTGATAAGCCCCCTCAGACAAGCACGAGGTGGTGCTGCTGAAGGAAGAGAGTCGTCTCGGCGCGTGATGAGCTCATTTGTTGGAGAGTCGAGAGGCTGACAAGGCGATGCTCTTGACCCATGACAGGTGCTGAGCTGGTCGACTCCGTTCTCGACGTCGTGCGCAAGGAGGCTGAGAACTGCGACATGCTGCAAGGTTTCCAGATCACCCACTCTCTCGGTGGTGGTACAGGTGCCGGTATGGGTACCCTCCTGATCTCCAAGATCCGCGAGGAGTTCCCAGACCGTATGATGGCCACTTTCAGTGTCATGCCATCGCCCAAGGTCTCCGATACCGTCGTTGAGCCCTACAACGCCACCCTTTCTGTCCACCAGCTCGTGGAGAACAGCGACGAGACTTTCTGCATTGACAACGAAGCACTTTACGACATTTGCTTCCGTACCCTCAAGCTCTCCACACCCAAGTACGGTGACCTGAACCACCTCGTGTCCGTCGTCATGAGTGGTATCACCACCTGCTTGCGTTTCCCTGGTCAGCTCAACTCTGACTTGCGTAAGCTCGCTGTCAACATGGGTGAGCTTATTGATGGAGGTGAAGCTTGCCAGGTCTAGGAAGATGTTGACCCTGGCTTCCATTCTCGCTCCTTCCCTGCCTCTTCTAGTGCCA